TCAAAGCTTTGGAGGGTTCATGGCAGTGAGGCAGATGGGGGCACTGGATGGGGCTGGAAATAAGGGTAGAGACCCCCCCCACCCTGCTTTCAGTCTTGTTAAGGAGTTCTGGCTCCAACCTGCAGGAGTGGGGAGGCAACAAGAGGTTTCAAACCATTATGTAGTTTCTGTTGTGGAGGGAAAAGGTAAAAAGAAGAGAGCACAGGTGGGGAAACCACAACAGTGTGGTCAAACTTCATTGACAATAAAAGACCAATTCAGTATGAATCTTAAATTTGTATCTAAAACAAGCCCTCAATTATGTAAGAAAGAACTGACAGAACTTAATTAGAAATAGTCAAATTCACCATTGTAGATGGAGATTTTAATTTATCTCCTTGAGTCACTTACAGAATACGCAAACAAAATATCAATAAGGATATATAAATTTTGAGCCACATGATTCACAAACTTGACCTAATTGATATATAGAGAACAATAGTTCTAACAACGTGTTCTACATTCCCTTTTTCAAGAATTTATTTTTAAGTACTCTCCATACCTAATGTGGGACTCGAACTCACAATGCTGAGATCAAGAGTCACATGCTCCACTGACAGAGCCAGCCCGGTGCCCCTACATTCTTTTCAAGTGCACATGAAAAATTCACCAAAATTGACCATATGCTGGGTCATAACCCATATCTCAACGAATTTCAAAGGATTGAAAACATACAGAGTATGTTCTATGACCATAACGGAATTAAGAAATCAGTAACAAGGGGCACCCTGGGTGGCTCAGTGGGTTAAGCGTCTGACTCATGATTTCAGCTCAGGTCATGATCTCAGGGTTGTGGGATGGAGCCCTGAGTGGGGATCCTCACTCAGTGGGGAGGCTGCTTGAGCTTCTTTCCCTCTCCCTCTGCCCCCACCCTCCCCCCCCCACACACACACTCACTCTCTCTCTCTCTTAAATAAGTAAACAAATCTGTAAAAAAATAAAAAAAAGAAATCAGTAACAAAAAGAAAGAAAATCTCCCATGACTTGGAAATTAGGGAACACGTTTTCCATGGACCAAGGAGAACTAAACTGCAATTAGAAAATATTTTGGGAGCATCTGGGTGGCTCAGTCATTTAAGTGTCCAACTCTTGATTTCAGCTCTAGTCATGTTCTCATGATTGTAAGATCATGTTCCCAGGATTGTAAGATCAAGCCCTGCATTGGGCTCTGTGCTGGGCATGGAGCCTGTTTAACATTCTTTCTCTCTCTCTCTTTCTAATAAATAAACAAATAATAAGTAAATAAATATTTTGAACTGATTGATAATGACAATACAATATATCGGCAGAACTTGTGGAAAGTTCAAACAGTTGTTGCAAGGAAATTTATTGTGTGTGTGTATATACAAACACATATATATTATAAAGAATATATTATATATTATAAAATGCATACATTAGAAAAGAATTAGAAAAATAATAAGGTAAAAAATCTGAGCACCTGTCTCAAGAAGCTAGAAAAATGTATTACAAATTAAATCCAAAGAAATTATTAGAAATAGTAAAGAAAGCAATAGAGATCAAATAAAATCTTAAAGTAAAAAAGGGAAAGGTGTTATAAAAAACAATCACCCGGGACGCCTGGGTGGCTCAGTTGGTTAAGCAGCTGCCTTCGGCTCAGGTCATGATCCCAGCGTCCTGGGATCGAGTCCCACATCGGGCTCCTTGCTCATCGGGGAGCCTGCTTCTCCCTCTGCCTCTGCCTGCCATTCTGTCTGCCTGTGCTTGCTCTCTCTCCCTCTCTCTCTCTGACAAATAAATAAATAAAATCTTTAAAAAAAAAAAAAACAAAAAAACAAAACAATCACCCAAGTCAAAAGTTGTTTCTTTAAAAAGATTAATAAAATTAGTAATTCCTGCAGTGAATGGGTGACTCAGTGGATTAAGCATCTGCCTTAGGTCATGATCCCAGGGTCCTGGGATCCAGTCCGGCATCAGGCTCCTTGCTCAGCAGGGAGTCTTCTTCTCCCTCTCCTTCTGCCCCCTCCACTGCTTATGCTCTCTCTCACACGTGCACACACCCTCTCTTTCTCTCTCTCAAATAAATAAATTAAATCTTTAAAAAAATCAGTAACTCCTACCAAGACAGGTAAAAACAGAAGTTACCTATAACAAGCATGACAAGGGGGACATTACTACAGATCTGTAATAATTATATAATTATAATTATATCCATATATTAAATATAATTATTATAAACATATATAATGTCATAATAATTCTGACACTGTGGTCAAGGACACAAGGGCTTGACCGGAAGCCTAGGCAGTAGAGATGAGAACGAGGTGATGGGTTTAAGATCTTGAGGGGGTAGAATAAGCAGAACTGGTTGAACTGGGTGTGGGAGACAAATAGATACAGAATTTTGTGTAGGGTTCTCATCTTAGGTGACTGTGTGGCCAGGGGTGTTACTGGTGAGTCTGGGCACCTCAGATGGAGAAACAAGCTTGGGGAAATGGGATGAAAACCAACTTTTTCTCTGTTTAATTTTGTTGCCTTTTTTTTTTTTTTTTTAAAGGTACTTACTTTCTAGGATGTGGAAACTATTTGTTCGAGCTGGGAAGTCTAAATATTGTGCCAGAAAGAACTGAGGTTCAAATTCCAATTCAGCTACTCAAAATTGTATGTCTTTATGGTAGTTAATTGCCATGTCCCCATCTTACTTTCCTCATCTGTAAAATGGGAGATAACAGTACTTATTTTAAAGGGATGCTGCAAAAAATAAATAAATAAATAAATAAATAAAGGGATGCTGCAAGAATGAAATAAAATAATATGTGTCAAGTATTTGGCATATAGTAGGTGCTCAATAAATGGTAGTGTTCCTTTCTTTCCTCTCACTCTTTCCTGCAATCATTGGAGTCCTTGGGACCATGGGTCTATTCTGATATGTGTTTAAGCAGCTGGGAGCAGGTGGTTAAAGAGGGAGAGCTCTCATTTTGTTTTCCTTGGGGAGCCTTTATTGTAACTTAGGGATTTTTTGGAACATGGGTTCATGCAACAACTAGGCTTTCTAATGGCTTGCAGGGCATAGTTGCTTGAGGGGCATAGTTGCTTGAGGAAAATAAAGGTGTGTCAATATTGATATGGTATTAATGTGGTATTGATATGGTATGATTCTCAAACTTTAGCAGGCATCAGAATCATAGATCGTTAAACACAGTCTTTTGCTAAATGGGCAAAAGGCTTGAGCAGACATTTCTTCATAAGATATACGAATGGCCAACAAGCACACGAAAAGATGCTCAACACCACTAATCATTAGGGAAATGCAAATCAAAGACGCAGTGAGATACCACTTCACAAACTTCACAAACAAAACCCAGAAAATAACAATTGTTAAGAGCACATAGAGAAGTTAGACTTGTGCACTGGTTTGTGGAATGTAAAATGATGAGCTATTGTGGAAAACATTATGGCGGGTCCCCCAAAAAATTAAACACGGAACTACCACATGATCCAGTAATCCTACTTCTGGGCAATTACCCTAAAGACCTGAAGACAGTTATCTCTAACAGGTAAATGTACCCATACATTCATTCATAGCAGTATTATTCACATATTTACAATAACCGAAAGGTGGAACCAACCGAAATGGCCACAAAGGGATCAATAGATAAAGAAAACATGTATTACGGTATTATTCAGGCTTAAAAAAGGAAGTACTGATACCTGTTACAACATAAATGAACCTTGAGGGCGTTATGCTAAGTGGAAAAAGTCAGCCACATATGATTCCAGTCCCAAATATTTAGCAGTGCAATTCATAGAAAGTAGAATGGCGGTTGTCAAGGACTGGGGGAGGGGAGAAATGGGGAGTTATTGTTTAATGGATATAGAGTTTCGGTTTTGCAAGTCAGAAAAGGTCTAGAGATGGGTGGTGGTCGCTGCACAACAATGTACACGTACTTAATGCCATTAAACTTAAAGATGGTCAAGATGGTAAGTCTTACATTATGTGTATTTTATCACATTTTCACCTGTCTCCCCACGCACAGCTGGGCGCCGACCCTCAGAGCTTCTGATTCGTTGGATCTGGAGTGGGGCCTATTGGTGAGCATTTCCTACAGGATCCCAGGTGATGGGGATGTTGCTGGGGCGGAGACCACACTAAGGGATCAATGCTGTAGGAGACCAGGTGAGTGGAATAGGGAAGGGTGCTGGGTTCACTCCCGCGTGGATATGGTTGTCATCAACGATTGCCAGGTGGCAATCGTTGAACGCTTCTTCTCCTCTAGGTTGGCTCGCAGCCCAGTCAAGGGGCTGCAGATGGGCAGCGCTAGAATATAAACTCAATCCTTAACTTCCTTTGGTCCTTGGTGTGGGTGTGGGTGTGAGACCGAGAGGGAACGACAGACCCCGCGACCCCCGCAGGGCGGCCAAGCATGCAGCTGCGGGGAGGATTCTGGAAGCCTCTCCCGGCTGGGGGCCCGAGGCTTGGTGGGAGGTGCTGCAGTCCCGGCCCCCCGCTCCCCCTCCCTCCCCGCCCCCGCTCCCCCTCCCTCCCCCCCCTCCGCCCCCGCCTCCGCCTCCGCCTCCGCCTCCGCCTCCGCCTCGGTCCACGGGTCTATGACTCTTGCGGTCCGCCGGGGCCGTCCGCGGGGTGGGCTGGCGGCCGGCAGAGGGCGCCGGCGCGCCGTCCCAGCGCCAGCCTCCGGGCCGCCCACCCCGCGGGCGCGCCTCTCTGCAGTCCAGCACCGCCCGGCCCGGGACCGCTTGCTCCGAGCGCGCAGACTTCTCCGCGGGACTGAGGACGCCGCCCGCCCCGGGCCGCCCCTGCGCTCGCCTTCCGCGCCCGCTCGGCCTACCGCCCCCGGGCCGGCGCCGCTTCCAGCCAGAGTCGGAGCGCCGAGCTCCCGCCCCCGGGAGCCTCCCGGCCGTCGGCGGACCCCGCGGCCCCGGCGCCCGCGCGCTCGGCGCCCTGCTCGCGGGGCACAGCGGAGGGCGGCGGCCGGCTGGGGATGGGCGGCCCGGCGGCGCGGAGGGGCGCCGGGGGGCTCCGCGCGCTGCTCCTGGCGCTGGTGGCCGTGGGGACGCCCGCGGGCGCCTACAACCTCGATTCGCAGCGCCCCGTGCGCTTCCAGGGGCCCGCCGGTTCCTTCTTCGGCTACGCGGTGCTGGAGCACTTCCACGACAACACGCGCTGGTGAGTGCCCCCCGCGACCCCGGCCCGGCCGCCGCCCCCGCCTCGGTCCCCCGCCGGCCGCCGCTGCCTTTTCCGGCCGCCTCCAAGCCGCCGTCCCGAGGGAGAAATTGCAATGTCTCGGCGGCGCGCAGCTCGGCCGCTGACGACAGGCGGGCAGGGCGCGGGACGCCGGTCTCTCGTCCGGCAGAGGTCGCGTTGGGCGCCTGGGGTTGGAGGCGGCAGGGCCGGCGCTTCCCCGCGGTCCCAGCCTGGCGTGCGCGGGGAGAACCCCGAGAGCGGTCCTCTCGGCCTCCCAGCCGGAGGAGACTTGGCTCTCTCGCTCGCTCAGAAACTTGGTCCCTCTGCCCCCGGGGGCCTCAGCCGAATGCCCCAGGCCCGAAGTGACCGGGCACGCAGACTCCTCAGTGTTCGGGAGCTCTTAGTGACACCCCACCCTCCGTTCCGCGGCGCCGAGGAAGTGCAGTGACCCCGGGACCTGAGGGGGACAGGCTGTGTATGTAGGGGAGGAGTGAGGCTCCCCAGAGGTGAGTTTCAGGCAGCCCGAGGGGCACACTGCGGTCCAGAAGCTTCCTCCTTCTTTACAATACCTTCTTGAGGAAGTGAGGCGAGAGGGTCCAGGATGCTGGAAGGGAGGATGGTCCAGGACCCTGAGTGACAAGCCTGGTGCATGACCTCTGAGACAGCCTGGGCCTCATTTCACCTAGGTCCTCTGACCTGGAGACAAGCACCTGAAGTTTTAACAGAGGGATGTGGTTTTGTAACGTCAAGGAATCCAGTTGCTCCCCGAGCGTCCCGAAGTTTGGGAGCTCTCCCCATTAAGTGCCATCAGCTAAGAGGCACAGACTGTGTCCCCAGCCCCTGAGGAGAAGCTCTGAGATGAGCTTGGTTCCTCTTTGACCCTTTCCCTGGGCAAGTGGAAATCCCACAGCACACAAGGGTCACCTCCTCATCAGAGAGTTAGTCGGTGGACAGTTCCCCTGTTCAAGGTCATGTCCCAGTGGGTGCCGGGTGACAACTAGTCTGGAGTTGGTTTTGTTGTGTGGTCACCAGTGTGGGTGTCCTTAGGGGATGCAGGTTAGGAAGGCGAGGTCCTTAATGTGTGCCATGCGTGTGCCATGCAGCTGTGTGAGACAGTCACTACTCTGAATGGGACAGAGGCTGATGGAAAGGGTGAGTTTGTAGAACTGAGTTCTGAAGCATTGCTGGAAGGGGGTGCGGTATGGGACAATCTGTGACTGGCCAGCCCATTAGCAATCCTTTGTTGAGGAGAACTGCCTCCAAGAGAACCAGTTTGTAAAGTCCTGTGTAGCCCCTGTCCAGTTCCACATCTCCTTCCCTACCATTTCTCCCAGTTGCCAAGTTTAAGGCCAGACTTTTTCTGCCTTGCTAAATCCCCTTTTTAAAGCAAAGCAGGCTAAACACCTTTTCCATGTCCAGCCTGCTCAGAGTTCACTGTGGGCTTTGGATTTGGTAGACAATGGAGCCGGAATGGTTGGAGAACGCATCCCAGAATCATCCCCGCCCCCCCCCCCGCCCCGGGCTCCTGGACTGTGTGACCTTGGCACAAAGTATGTGAGGCGAGTGGGTCAGGAATAGAAGGGCTTCTCTGGGTGGGGGGCTCTACAGGAAAAGGCAGGCAGTGCAGCTGGGGCACTGTGTGGGATCTGTAGCTGCACGGGCTAGGGCGCCTCTGGGCTCTATGATGTGGCTCAGCTCACGGGAAAAGTGCCAGGACCTGATCACCTGGATTTGGACGGGCCACACGTCAAAGCTGTTCTAAGTGGGGAACAACTGGGTGTGGGAGGTGGGAGAGGCAAGAGCGAGTTTGACATAGGAAAAAAGTTGAATCTGCTTTGTTTCAAAAGGGAGATGAGGAAAAGCTGCGTGACTGGAATAGGTTCGGCAATTGTAGGAAACGACAGACTGGCCTTCAGCTTGGCACCCGGGGTATCGAGGGAGGCGGGGTGTGCAACTGGAAGGTAATGCTGGTGTGTGGCCTTGGTGCCAGTGGAGATGTGGGGCAGATATTTCCAGGGCCCAAAGGGACCCATCACAGCCAGGGTGCTGGTTCAGAAGTACCCTCTCCAGTCCTGATATGAGCATTAGAGCATTAGTCCTCCCATTCGAGGACTTGTCCCGACAGTTTTCCAGGGGCCGACCAAACTTGATGAAAATCTTTTTAAAGCAATTTTTTTTTCTTTTTTTGCCCCACAATGTCTTAATTTTCATTATAGTTTTTGCTGTGTCCTTGCTACCTGTGCTCTTGCTGTTTTTTCCAAGTATTTTCCTCCTTATCCTTTTCTCTTCCCTCCCTTCCCCCCAATATTCTTTGTCTTAGACCTTAAATGTTATTCTCAGCTGATACACTGCCCAGACTTGTAAGGTGTGGCTTTTGAAGCAGTAGACGTCCAGCCTCACCTCCTTTCTTTCTTTTCTCTTTCTCAAGATTAGACTTACCACAGGGCTAATGAAACTTCCACCAAAGGCCTCTTACTCACATGGGCCCCTACCAAGACCCTGTGCTGAATTTTATAGTCCTAATTTTGTATTTTCTTAAAGATAGTCACCCTAAATTTACAAGACTTAGGCTCAGTGGAGTCTGGATCTACCCTCTATGTCTCTACCCTAATTTTAGCTCAAGGATTGTTTGACTTAGCGACTGATTGTCGGTCTCTTCCTACCAGGCAGTCCCAGGGCCCTGCATCTTTTAGCCCCGCTTGAGGGACACGTAGGTTGTTTCCAATTATTCATGATTATAAACAACAGCAGGGGTAAACATCCTTGTAACTAAAGCCTTGCGGACATCCTTAATTATTTCCTTCGAATAAATTCCTGGGCTTAGAATTGCTGGGTCAGAGAGAAGGGAGATTTTGAGGTGTTTTGTATGCATTTACAAAGTGCCAGTGAAGTTAACATGTGTACTTTAGAGAAATGCATTAATTCAGGCCCTGAAATTTTGAGTGATTTGCTAAGGGGCTGATCCAATGCCTGAGAGGAGCTTAGCTGTCTACGTAAGAGGAACTAAAAAGATCACGAATATAGTCAGAATGGGTGTGGAGAGTAAGTGATCGACATGAAAAGGAAAAGTAACACACTGAAACTTTGTAAAGAAAGAAAATGTTAATTAAACCTTGTATCTGGTGTCTTTCTTCTCTGGAAATTACTCTTTAGCTTAATTCAGTATTAGTGGTTTAATAAGTTGGCTTCCTGCTTTTTCCAGGCAAAGGGATTTGTTCTAGGCAGGGTAAGGAGCAAGAAGAATGTGCTGATGGGGGCGGGGATAGAGCCCAGGCAGCAGGGTCAGCATGGGCTCTGCAGGTGGCAGAGTGGAGGGGGGGGTCCGTGGCATTAACATGGAACCCAGGTACACATCACAGAGCATGTGTGTGCACCCTGCCGGGAGAGCCAGCATTTCTTCTTGAATCCCATAACCAAGCATACCTGTCAGTGCCTTTTTTCAGCCAAAATTGTCAGAGGTCAGAAAGTTCGAGATTTCAGCAAGAGCAGGGGGTGACCTTGCTTTTATAAACCCTGGGGCTTGAACACAGCTCCTGCAGTGTTGCATACTGAGCATTTGGTGCTCAGACCCTATTCCTGGTCCCTCTGTTGTTGACCTCTAGGCGGTGTGAGTTGTCACTGTGGCCAGGTGGACTGGAAGATCCTGGACAGTGTTACAGATGTCATTTGTATCTGTTTGGATGCAAGCATGCACGTGACTTGGTTTCCTCTTTTTCCGACAACACTCAGAGGGTGTCTGCCTGCCAGAGCTGGCTTCCTTGCCTGTACCTCTCCCCACCACCCCCCGCCCCTGGGTCTTCTTGCACCCTTTGAGCAACGGCAGTAGGTGCCAGGGAACACGGACAAAGCCGATGTCTGTCCCCTTTGCTTACACGCGTACCCGTTCTTCAGCTGCGGGGCAGACAACTGTAACACCCTGTGATATATATAAATGAGGCCGGCTAGCGTCCAGCCCCCAAAGTGGGTTTCTTTCACACCCCTCCCCCCCCCTTCCTCTCTGCCCCAGACGCCCTGGAGTCCGAGGTGGTTGGGTGCACTGGCTTCCTCTCTGGCGACGTGCTTCCTGCCCCATCTCCCGGGACACATCCAGACGGCTGTGCTCAGGCGCAGAGCAAGTGCTCGGAAATGGAAGACGCGCCGGCTCTCTGCTCTGTTAGGGCTGTCAGAGCATCATTCGGTGAGGGATAGGAGGTCATTCAGAGCCCAGGAGAACATAACATTCTCTGCTCACATTAAGGCTGAGAATTAAAACGAGCTAGACGGTTCTGCACTGCCAGTGCCTTTGCCATTAGCCAGATGGATTGCTATTTTAAATAAAAATTAATTACAACCACATAAAATCAAGAATTCAGTTTCTCAGTTATACTAGCCACGTTTTAAGCGCTCAGTCTCCACCTGTGGCTGGTGGCCGTCACACCGGACAGCACGCAGGACACTCATTGCAGAGAGTTCTGGACAGTGCAGGTTTAGAGCAATGAATTAAGGCTTAAAGGGCTAGACCAAGATCTGATGAAGGTAGAAGGAAAAGGAAAAGCACGTTTGTGTATCAGAACAAGTGGAGGCGCTTGGAGTGAGCTCAGGATTAATAATGGCTTTTGGTTCACAAGGTACCAGGAATGAGGTCCTGCTGCTCCCTCTGGTCGGGAGGGAATTAATCAATTAATTAATCCATTAGTTAGGATTAATAGTGGACTGCCAGAGAGGCTGACAACTTTGCCTTTTCCCTTGTCAGACAGCGAAGAGCCTTGTCTGCTAAGGTAGAGGGCTCAGGAATGAAGACTCCACTCACATCCAACACATGAAGGGATTGTGGGGTCCTAGTCTGGTGTCCCAGGCAAAAACTAAGCTGTCGGCTCCGATGGGGAAGAGGCTTGTCCTTGGGCAGGCACAGTTCAGAGGGGCAGAGTGGGGAGACCCCCCCCCCCCCGTGAAGGTAAAACCTGTAGAAGGGGGACCCTGGGATCATGGGCCCTCCTGTCCCC